GCGTGCAGCAGCTGCAGATGCGGCTGAAGGGCGGAGCGTGGGCCGCTTCGTCGTGCGCGCAGTACTTTGACCTGCGCCCCTCCTTCAGCTGCTGCTGCTGCTGCTGCTGCTGCTGCTGCTGCTGCTGCTGCTGCTGCTGCTGCTGCAGGCGTCTGCAAGTTGATTAGCTCCGACAAGCCGCATGCGTTTGAGTCTGCTGTATTGGCTCGGCAGCAGCTCGTGAGCGGGGGAAAGCTGCTGCGGCTTTCGCAGCTGCAGCAGTCCTCGCTCCAAGAGCAGCAGCAGCAGCAGCAGCAGCAGCAGCAGCAGCAGCAGCAGCAGCGGGGGCTGTGGCACAGCAAACTCGCAGCAGAAACCCCCTCCACCTGCTCCCCAGGGGCCTCCCAGGGGGCCCCCGACCCCAGCATTATAGGCGAAGATGAAGTGGGTCGGGGGGCCCCCCAAGAAGTGGGTTTTGTGAGGAGGGCCCTGACGCAATGTTACCGCTTCTGCAGCACTTTGGCGCTGCACAATTTGCTGCACAGCAGCAGCAGCAGCAGCAGCAGCAGCAGCAGCAGCAGCAGCTGCAGCAGCTGCAGCTGCAGCTGCATGCGCTTCCGCGACCGGCAGAAAAAGGCCTTGGGAGAGTTCAGTGCGGAGGCAAGCCCCAACGAATATACACCAGCAGCAACAGCAGCAGCAGCAGCAGCAGCAGCAGCAGCAGCAGCAGCAGCAGCAGCAGCAGCAGTGGCAGCAGCTGTGTTGCGTTTGCTGCTTCCAATGCGTTCGAGCTTGTAGTGTGTACTGTCTAAACGTATAGACGCGGGAGGAAAGAAGAGGGGCCGCGTAAACCACGTTTTAGGGTTTAGGGTTTAGGGTTTGTGTGCTGCAGGCCCTGCAGCAAGTGGTGGCTTCGGTGCAGCGCGAAGACATTGCCCTCATTTGCGGCTCTCTTGAAGAACTAAACTGCTGCTTGGGGGCCCTCGAGGCCCTGGGGGGTATTCGAGAAGAGGGGCCCCTGGGGGCCCCCGGGGGCCCCTTCTTTGAGCCCGAAGGCCTCAAACCCCAGCAGCAGCAGCAGCAGCAGCAGCAGCAGCAGCAGCAGCAGGAGGCGCACGGGCTGCTAAGCTTGCTCGTGTCGCAGTTGAGCTGCTGCTCGCTGCTCTTCGGCCCCGCGGCGCCCAGCAGCAGCAGCAGCAGCAGCAGCAGCAGCAGCAGCAGCAGCAGCAGCAGCAGCAGCAAACTGCAGAGGGCCCCTGCGGGGCCCCCCCCCGGAAGTGTTTGCGAAGTGCTGCTGCAGCGAGACGCCAAAACCCTAAAAGTTTTGGATTGCCAAATTCGGAAAAAAGGAACTTTTAATTACTTGAGTCGCGCATGCACCCACATGTCAGCTGCAAACCCTAAACCCTAAACCCTAAACCCTAAACCCTAAACCCTGAACCCTGAACCCCAGGCCCTAGACCCTAGACGCTAAACCCTAAACCCTAGACCCTAAACCCTGAACCCTAGACCTCAAACCCTAAACCCTAAACCCTAAACCCTAAACCCTAAACCCTAAACCCTAAACCCTAAACCCTGCGCTGCTGCTGCAGGTGGGAGACGCAAACGGGGCTTTTTGGGGACTCTTCGCTTCCTGCTGCTGAAGTGCAGCAAAGGCTGCAGTCCGACATGGCTTCCCTAGCCGTACGTACACCCTATACTTGCATGCATGCATACATGCATGCATGCATGCATGCATGCATGCATGCAACTTGCACGCATGCATGCAAGCAAGTAACTCCGCACTTGCATGCATGCATGCATGCATGCATGCATGCATGCATGCATGCGGGCACTGTGGCATTTCTCACAAGCAGTTATTTGGGGCCGCATGCATTCTGTGGGGCCCCACAGCCCTCGCTGGGGGCTGCATGCGCGGCTGCATGCAGAGTGTGGGGCCCCACACGGTGCATGCAAGTGTGGGGCCCCACATTTGGGGCTGCATGCGTTGTGTGGGGCCCCACAGGACTCCGAGGGTTTCATAACTTTGGAAGAAGCTGCTGCTTTGGGGGCCGTCTATGGGGCCTCTCCAGCTAGGGGGGCCCTCAGGGTTTGGCAGCAGCAGCGGGGGCCCCTTTTGGACTTCAAAGAAATGCTTTTCTTCATTACTTCTTTTCGAATCCAAGACAACCTCCAGCTCCTCGCGGAGCCTTTCCTTCTCTTCGACAAGGAGGTCCTGCTGCTGCTGCTGCTGCTGCTGCTGCTGCTGCTGCGGCTGCTGCGGCTGCTGCTGCTGCTGCTGCTGCTGCGGCTGCTGCTGCTGCTGCTGCTGCGGCTGCTGCTGCTGCTGCTGCGGCTGCGGCTGCGGCTGCTGCTGCTGATGCTGATGTTACTGATGCTGATGCTGCTGCTGCTGCTGTTTGTGCGACTGCTGCTGCTTGTGCTGCTGCTGCTGCTGCTGCTGCTTGTGCTGCTGCTGCTGTTTTTGTTGCTGCTGCAAATATCCGTGCTGCTGCTGCTGTTGTTCGTGCTTCCGCTTCTG